ACCATCAGGTGAAATCCATGTGTATAACCTGCGTTTATGTCTCTTATAATATGTATTTGCAATGAATAAGTCATTGATCGTACAAAATTCAGTCATTCTATCTCCATCTTCATTTCTGTCACCAAGCCCATGTCTTCCAACTACTGATTCTTCTTCTCTGTTCCCAACTTTTGCATTACTCAATAGTTTGGAGAAATCCCTAGCTGCAGGCTTTCCCAGTGCAGTAAGTCTCCTGGTTTCCTGACTGCTAGTACCAAGGGTGTTGATTTTGGATCCAAGGAAGATGAAGTTGTTGACATTTTGAATATTTTCTCCATCTATCATGATGTTGTCTCTTGGGCCAAGGGTGAGAATTTTTGTTTTCTTAATGTTGAAATGCAATAGATATTTAAGGCTGCATTCTTTGATCTTCTACAATGCTTCAAGTCTTCCTCACTTTCAGCAAGCAAGGTTGTGTGGTCTGCATAACACAGGTTATTGTTGAGTTTTCCTCCAATTCTGATGCCACATTCCTCGTCATAGAGTCCAGCTTTTAAAATAATTTGCTCAGGATGCAGATTAAATAGGTATGGAAAGAGATTAAAACCCTGACACTCTCCCTTCTTAATTTTAAACCATGCAAGCAAAATCCTGCTGAAGAGTAACCACATCAATAGAGAACTACCAGAAATACAAGCTGGATTTAGAAGAGGTCGTGGCACTAGAAACATCATCGCCAATGTCAGATGGATCTTGGTCAAAAGCAGAGAGTACCAGTGGAATGTCTGTTTCATTTCCTGTGCAGAGGATGAGACTGTGTGAATCACAACAAATTGTGGCTAACCTTGACAAGAATGAGAATCTCAGAACACTTGATAGTGCCAATGCAAAACCTGCACTTGGACCAGGGAATAATCTTCAAAACAGAGCAAGGAAACAGGGCATGATTCAGAATTGGGAAAGGAGTGTATCAAGGATAGATACATCCTGTCTCTATACTTTTTCAGTTTGTATGTGGAACACATCATTTGGGAGTCTGGACATTGAGGAGTGTGGCATCAGGATTAGAGGAAGACTCATTACGACAACCTTGTTTGCCGAAGCGGAAGAGGACCTGAAGTGCTTGCTCCAGGAGGTCAAGGGCTGTAGTCCTCAATGTGGATTGAAGCTCAACATCAAGACAAAGATTCTCCCCACTGTGCCAGCTGGTAGCATCATGATAGATTGAGGTTAACGATTTCAGCTTGCTCAGCTCCACAATCAACACTCTTGGCACCACAGTCAGGAAATCAGAAGACGAATTGCACTGGGGAAAGTCTGCTGTCAGGGACCTCATACAATTGCTAAAAAAGCAACGATGTCAGTCTAGAGACTTGTTGTTGTTAGGTGCAATCAAGTCAAGTACGACTCATAGCGACCCCATGAACAAAAGATCTGAACCCCATCCTGTCCTGTACCATCCTCACACTTCCTGACACACAAGAGCCCATTGCAGCAGTCACTGTGTCATTCCACCTGGTTGAGGGTCTTCTCCTTTGCCGACCCTCCACCCTTCCCAGCATCATGTCCTTCTCCAAGGAATAGCACCTTCCAGCAACATGTCCAAAGTATGTGAGGCAAAGCCTCATCATTCTTGCCTCCAAAGAGCATTCCAGCTGCACCATCTCCAAGACATACCTGTTCATTCTCTCTGCCATCTGTGAAATGTTCAGTGCTCCTCTCCAACCCACAGCTTTTCAAAGGCATCAGTTCTTTTTCTGTCATCCTTGTTCATTGTCCTGGTCTCGGATGCATAGCTAGTAATTGGAAAGACGATGATCTGAATCAGACTCACCTTAGTCCTCAAACCAGACCATGGTCTTCGCATTTACTTACTATGCATAAGAAAGCTGGACAGTGACTACGGATGACAGAAAAAGAATTGATGCCTTTGACTTGTGGTACTGGAGAAGAATATTCAACATACCATGGACTGCCAAGAGAATAAACTGGTTTGTCTCGAAGGTGGTGAAACCAGGTTTCTGCCTGGAGGCTAGTTCTGTCTCACAAACTTTGGGCACGTGGCCAAAAGGGACCAGTTCTTGGAGAAGGACATCATGCTTAGAAGGGTGGAGAAGAGGAAGACCCTGGATGAAATGGATTGATACAGTAACTGAGGTAATGGGGGTAGGTGTGTCAGAGACAGTGAGACTGGTTCAGGACAGGGCAGGATTCAGACCCATTGTACACAGGGTAGCTGTGAGTCGCAGGAGACTCAGTGGTACATAACAACAACAACAACAACAACAGTGTTCCCTTGCTGTGTCCGTACAACATCCTCCTGGTCTAGATGAAGATTTTACATGAGCCTTAAGTACACTGGGATTCCTGTTCATCTCAATGTCAGCAATAACTTATGAGCCACACAGTCAAATGTCTTTGTATAGTCAATAAATAAAGCATAAATAAGGGAGCTCTGGGGCCCTAGTGGCAAGAAGCTGCATTGCAATCCCAGGGGTATGTGGTTCGGAGCCACCGGATGCTCTGCTGGAAAGGAGGGACAATCTCCTCATGTACCAGTCAGATCCAATTTGACAGTACACACGTACACAAAATAATAAAAATGTAATTAAAAAAACAGCAAGCATAAATAGACATTGTTCTGGTATTCTCTTTCAGCTGGAATCCATCTGACACCAGCAATGATGTCCTGCAGGCCACACAGGCTCTTCTAAATCCTGCTTAAACTACTGGCAGTTCCCTGTCTCTGTACTGTTCTGTTTGTGAATGATCTTCAGCAGTATTTTGCTTGCATGTGATATTACTGATCACATAGTAATGGGAGCAGGGATCCAAGCCTTTCTCCTGAGGAGGCTAGAAGTGGAAGTAAAGCACCCACCTTTAGCTGGCAGCTGAGAACTGTGTGAAGGACAGCTGCTGAGCTTTCATGGTCTTCAGCAAGGCTCACGGTGATGCTGGTTCTGAGTCCCCAAGCTGGGGGAGGTGGGCCCAGGAGACTGCAGCCGGCCCAGTGGGGGCTGTGATGCCCACAGGAAGGTGCAGCTGGCCCGGGGCCCCTCTTTCACTTCCCTCCCTTGTGGCCTGGTAGAGGCTGGAGTCAGGATGGCAGGAGCCACCCCTGGGTCCTGAGCAGGGCCCTCTTGGTCTGTCCAAGTGTGATCCTGGGTGGAAGGCGCAGTGCCCTGCTGTGCCAGCCCCCTCCCAGCAGCCCTGGCTTCCGTCTCTGGCAGCCATCTCTCTTGAGGACAGTGTGTTTCGCCATTACAAAAAAAAAAAATGGAAACCTTAGGAGGGTCTGCCAGGGTCTTTCTGGTGACCTGTTCAGCAGAGGTGGGAACCTGTCCCCCTAGATGACCTGCCCCAGGCTCTGCAAGCCCCAAGTCTTCCTTGTCCCCTCGGGTAGAGCCAAATGTGAGTCCTAGGTGCAGCTGAATGGAGGACCACAGACCACTGGGCCTCCAGCCTTTAGAACCCACAGGGACAAGGAACACAGAACAAGAGCATGTGATGCCCTCCACTGTTCCCACGCAGACTCGAAGGACAGAAGCATGGGGAGGGTCTCCAGCCAAGTGTGGTGCTCATGGCCGAAGTCCACGGGTCAGCCTTTTGCACCGAGGGGACGCTGAGGCTGGGTGCAGCCTCTCCCCAGTTACCACCAGGAGAAGGTGGTGGAGCACGGAGGGCGAGGCGGGAACTGGGGATCTGCCGGTTGGGCTTCACCCAGCCCCGAGCCACGCTGTGTGCCCCCTGCTCACCATCACGACCGCCACCACCCACTGTTCATGAGTTGTCAGAGTCAGGGCCACTTTCCAGACTCCAGGCAGCTCATCAGGGGACAGTTAGGACTTCGGTGCTTCCTGCTTTTCCGACCGCCCGTGACCTGGCTCCTCCTCACACCAGTTACCCCCTCATCCCATACCTGTTATACCCCTTCATACCGTTACCTTCCTCACACCCTCCTCACACCACTTCCCCCTCCGCACACCTGTCAGCCCCTCATACCACGTGCTCCTCTCACACCCTTCACCCCAGTTACCCTCTTCACATGGGTTAGCCCCTCACACCTTTTATTCCCCACCAGTTAAACCCTCACACCACTCACCCCTCACACTACTTAACCCCCCTCTGCCTACCTCCCCCACCAGCCACCCTCGTCCCAGCTCACCCCGACACACTAGTCATTGGTTCTAGTCACTGACATTTTCCCAGACCAGCCACTCTAGAAAAGACTGGCACCCCACTCCCCCAGGAGCTGAGCATCTGGTGGACATCCAGCTGCTTGAGCCCCTCAAGGCCCCCTCCATCTGTTCAGGGTGCCCCGTGCCCGAGCATTCTTTCTTTATACACGTGGCCATCCTGCCTCTTCATGAGCAGGGGCGCCACTTGTCCCCTCCCGAGCACCATGATGCGTGCAGTGCCCGCCAGAGCCCAAGTCACCTCCGAATGCTTGTGCCCCAGCTGACCGTCTGTGACCACTGGGTGCTGAGAGGCACGTGGGAGTCCTGGGTTGACGAGTTCCTGCACCTCTGAGCATGTGGACACCCCAGGGAGCAGGAAGAGGCCTGCCCTAGGGAGTTCCCAGGCTGCTAGGGGACAGGTAGAGGCAGGGCCCGAGGCTCCTGTGAGGTGACTGTTGAGCTGGCCCCTTGTCCTGAGGTTTGCAGAGGTGTCTGAGGGTAGGTCCGGGCACAGCGCTCGGCACGTCTCGTGTTTGCTGGCGGCCAGGCGCTCCTGCTCCTCTCTACTGATGCTCATGCCCCTTCCTCCCTTCTGTCTTCCAGCTGGTCAGTGAGAAAGTGGGCGGCGCTGAGGGGACCAAGCTTGACGATGACTTCAAAGAGATGGAAAAGGTAATGGGACATTGGCATGTCACCTGACACTGAGCTTGGTGCGGGGCTTCTACTTGAGGTGTCTGTTCTGCCTTGCCAGAATCCACAGGGGAGGGGAAAAGGTGCCCACGTGGACACAGTGGGATAGGAGCAATGGGGCCTGAGGTCGGGTAGTCCTGGGCAGTCAGCAGGGGTCTAGGAGCTCCCTTGTGTGGGCTGAGGAGTGCTTTCCAGGCGGGGAAGGCTGTGTTCCAGGTTTGGGTACCTTCATGTGAAACCCATATGCTTCCTCTCTCTCTAGAAAGTGGACGTCACCAGTAAGGCCGTGGTGGAGGTACTGGCCAGAACCATCGAGTACCTGCAGCCTAACCCAGGTAGCGCTGCCTGAGTGCACAGAGGGAATGGATGGGTTCCTAGAATGGAAACATGCAGGTTGGGCAGGCTTCAGGCACAGCTGGATCCAGGAGCCTGTGGCTGTCGGCTGATAGCTGTAGCCCCTCTGTGCTGGTTTTAGTATCTAGCTGTTTACTCCTCCAGCTGTCCTGTTCCTACTCACTCTAAGAGGTCACTGTGTCATACCCACCTGGCTCTGTCCCATTCCAGCTTCCAGAGCCAAGCTGACAATGCTCAACACAGTGTCCAAGATCCGGGGCCAGGTGAAGAACCCTGGCTACCCGCAGTCGGAGGGCCTGCTGGGCGAGTGCATGACGCGGCACGGCAAGGAGCTGGGTGGAGAGTCCAACTTCGGTGAGTGGGTCCCCACCATGCTGTCACCCCCACCTCCTGGGGCCGTATGTGACCTCACTAAGGACCAGGTGTTCCCAAGTATGGGGAGTCTGGGCAGTCCAGCAGGGGCTGGTGTTGGGCAGGTGGGTGGGCAGCACAGAGGATGGCTGGGGGGGGGGCTCCAGGACACCTCAGTGCCACCACACATGGAGGCCTGAGGAACAGAGAACCCCTTCTTCACCTGTGACATATTTTCCACCCCCCAAGTGCACTCTGAAAGAGGAGGCAGTCTGTTTCCTAAATATTTTGACTTTGGGAGCTGTGTGGGCAGTTCTGCTCTGCCCCCAGGGTTGCTGGACTTCAGGCTCGACACGACACCAGTGGTTTGGTGCTCTCTGAATTCAGTACCCTGGCCTCTGGGCGGGTGGCAGAGACAAGTTGGAGGGTCTGTCTGCCACAGGGCCTGTGTGAAGGCCTCTTGCTGCCCCCAGGCGATGCTCTGCTGGACGCAGGGGAGTCCATGAAGCGCCTGGCTGAGGTGAAGGACTCTCTGGACATCGAGGTCAAGCAGAACTTCATCGACCCCCTGCAGAACCTGTGTGACAAGGACCTGAAGGAGATCCAGGTGCTGACTCAGCGCACTGACCCCGTGCCCGGGGAGGGAGGCCCTGTGTCACCTCCCTGGATCTGTCCTCCCCCCACCCTCAGATGTAGTGTTCCTCTGTGCTCACACCCACGTAGGCTCACTCACAATACACCATGCTCGCTGTGCACGTTTGTATACACACACACTCGTGGACATGCACGTGCACACACACTGCATGTGCTCTCAGGGAGGCGCGTGTGCATGCTCCTGCATGCACGCTCACAGCACACACACGTCCTTATGTGCGCACTGAGCACACGCATACACTCACTGCACCATCCTCAGACCTTCCCACACTCACGTGCACACTCAGGGCAGCCTGGGGCACGCAGCTCTCCCACACCCGTGGGAGCGTGTGTGGTGACCTGTGACCCACATCTGTGCCCAGCACCACCTGAAGAAGCTGGAGGGCCGGCGTCTGGACTTCGATTACAAGAAGAAACGGCAGGGCAAGATCCCTGACGAGGAGCTGCGCCAGGCCATGGAAAAGTTCGAGGAGTCCAAGGAGGTGGCCGAGACCAGCATGCACAACCTCCTGGAGACTGACGTACGTGGGCAGCAGGGCCTTGTGCGGTGGCTGGGTCTGGGGTTCAGTGCCTGCACTCAGCCTGGGAGGTACCCCTGCAAGACCTGGCCCAGGGATCCGTCCTGGGTGTGCTGGGAGGTGCCTGCTGCCAGGCCAGAAGGTGCCAGGGTCTCCTGAGCAGAGTGCCTGCTCAGGCTGTGGGCGGATGGCTAGACCCCTCCAAGGCCAGAGAAGAGTGGCCCCTCTGTCCACAGCTGCAGTTGGCACCGCGTGGAGGGGGTTCCCAGGAGCAGGTCCCCTCCGCTGAGCCTTGCAGCCTTTCTGCTCCCACAGATCGAGCAGGTGAGTCAGCTGTCTGCGCTGGTGGACGCACAGCTGGACTACCACCGGCAAGCTGTGCAGATCCTGGACGAGCTGGCTGACAAGCTGAAGCGGAGGTGAGGCCCCTGCCTGCTTCCTTCCCCCCACCTGCGGCCTCTGCTGGCTGCAAGGGGTGGTGCATGTTGTCCAGAATTCTCCCCCAAGCCTGTCTTAGGAAACCATTCTACTGCCCCAATCCACAATCTGTGAGCAGGAACTGGGGCTCCTTCCAAAAGCCTGGCTTGAAGTTCTAGTGCCAGGGTGGGTCCTTTCACACGGTGGAGGGGCCTGGTTTGTCCCTGTGGGCCCAGCTGCTATCATAGAGGTGGGTTCAGGTGACACCAGCCAGATACTCCAGGCTTCCTTCTTCTGCAGGATGCGTGAGGCCTCGTCGCGCCCCAAGCGAGAGTACAAGCCCAAGCCGCGGGAGCCCTATGACCTGGGCGAGTCGGAGCAGTCCAACGGGGCCTTCCCCTGTGCCACAGCCCCCAAGATCACAGGTGTGGCCAGGTCCCTAGGAGTGCTGGAGGGGGACGCCTGCTGGCACGAGGGTCTCTGGGGAACTTCACGTTCTGGGTAGCACCACCCCAAACAGCAGCACTCTCCAGACAGGCCTGCTCGGCGGGCACTGGGGCGCCATGTGCTCAGTACCTCTGCTCCTTCTGATTTGCAGCTTCCTCCTCCTTCCGGTCCTCTGACAAGCCCATCCGCACCCCCAACAGGATTATGCGTGAGTGTCCCCTGGGGCCTGCAGCTGCCCCCTTGACCAGCCAGGAACACCCCTGAGGTGGCAGGTCAGGTTGGCATCCTCACCAGGGAGCCACAGGGACCTCTGCTGTCACAAGCTCAAGGGGCCTGCAGGTCCCACCCGTGCCCCCTCATCCCTGACCAGTGAAGAAGCAGGGCAAGGGCCATAGGGCGGGGTGGGCGTGGACCGCGGCCCTGAACCTACGCTGTCCGCAGCACCCCTGGACCAGCCGAGCTGCAAGGCCCTGTACGACTTTGAGCCCGAGAACGACGGGGAGCTGGGCTTCCGCGAGGGCGATGTCATCACGCTCACCAACCAGATCGACGAGAACTGGTACGAGGGCATGCTGCACGGCCAGTCGGGCTTCTTCCCGCTCAGCTACGTGGAGGTGCTGGTGCCGCTGCCGCAGTGACCGCCATTGCTGCGGTGACCGCCTGGGAGCCTGGGCAGCTGCGGCCCAGCAGGGCCGTTTACACACGCCCCCACCTCGGTGGGGCACCCCTTCCTACGCCACCTGGCCTGCTGGGGGCTGGGCAGTCTGCTCCCGATCACTGGCTCCGGCCCCACTCAGTGGGACCCTCGAGTGGGGCTGACACTAAGGTGCTCTCTGAAACACTAATGTTCCTCCCAGCCCCCTGGGCGCCAGGGCAGACCCTCCTGCCCCACATGCCAGTCCCCACCTCCATCCTCATGCCCAGGCCTAGCCCCACCCTGGCCAGTACCCCTTACCTTCCAGGGACTCGGGCACAGCTCTGTGCCTGGTTTTAAGCTCCAGAGGCTTCCTTCCCAGCCTGCTCAAACAGTGGGACTTATAGGGACCCAAACTTTGTACAGAAGCGGCCCTTACAAATCTAGGGCCCTTTGTGTCACCCCACCAGGTCCACTGTGAGCACTGAGCCGCTGTGGGCCAAGGGGGAGCCCTATCACCCCCACATGGGCACTCCCCTCAGATTAGACCTTTTCAACTTATTACTGCCCAGCCAAAAGCACAAAACTGAGGGGTGTCTGGCCACAGCGGCCACCACCAGCTCTACATCCCTGACACCCCAGCACGGGACCATTCCTGGCCACTGATGGCCGCACACTGAGGCTTCCATGAGGGAGTGGCCACAGACCCCTGGGTGGTCACTGGCTCTGCTGCTTTCTCGGATGCAGCCACCTCCTCAGACCCAGGAGGCGGAGCAGGCCCCCAGACCCACCACTCCCAGCCCTGTGCGCAAGGGCCACAGTGCCGGCCTCACCACACACACATTCCCCACGCTGCCCACTGGGCCCTGCCCTATGCCCCCAGGCCATTCCAGGGCACAAACAGCAAGTGCAGTGTGGCCCTGAGTGAGGTGGCATTCCAAGGGCACACCGAAACGGAACCCTGATTTTTTAAAAAGTATTAAATGTCTCTTTGTATGCTCTCTTTGTATGTATGTCATGGTGTGCAGGTAGCTGGACATGGCCACTGTCATGGGGGCTCCTGCTTGGTGGATGCTTGTTCAGCAGAGGGACTCGTGTCTTTTCCACTTCCCTGAGGTTGTTAAAACCCAAGGCCCCCCCCCCCAAGCCTGCTTCCCCAGTGCCTAGGAAGAGTGTGTGCCACAAGGTCAGGGGTCAGTGCTAGGCCCCCAGGGGCCCCTCTCTCCTATAACAGCCAGTCACAGCCACTGCCACTCTGGGGCTTTATTTTTGGAGCCGCTCTCGCTCCATAGCCCAGTGACAGGCCTTGGGACCAGCACAGTTGAGGGGAACAGGCGGGAGTCAGTCCCAGGACCCCACTCGGCTGTGGGAAGCCTGGTCATGGTGGCAGTTTCAGCTGGCCTGCTTGAGGACACCGTAGACCTGCTCCAGTACGTGGCACAGGCCTGGGTCCTTGGGGGTCCTGCTGGCCAGGGACATCTGTAACGGGATAGGACAGGGCTCGAAGGCAGCATGGAGATGGGCAGTGCCTGCTAAGCGGTGGGGTGGGCTGGTCCTGTGGGGCCCCCCCAGCTGAAATACATGCATGTCCAGTCCACACCCCCAGCCTGTCCACCCAGAATGGAAACGGCCCAGCCCTGAGCCTCCCTAACCCAATGTCTGTGGCAGGGAATTCCAGGTCACTGCTTCCAAAACCGGGTTCTGACAGTAATGTTCACATACGAACACTCTGGAGGGTTACTTGGCCCTCGTGTAAAGAAACCGCCTTAAAACAGATTTTAAGAAGTCCTTAGCAACCACCAGAGCTTGAGATTCACACATGCCCGTGTGGGCCTCCTCCCTGCAGACTGGCCATTCACCCCAGTGCCTTCAAACAGCTAATCAGGAGGGAGGGCATGGCACTGCGGACCCCAGGCTGCCCAGGGCACTCCCCCCAAACAGACTCCCTTCTGCCCTGGATTCACCTTCAGCTTGTCCAGGTAGGTGTGCTCCTGACTCCAGGGCTCCTGGAAGCGCACGAGGTCTGGGGCGCCCTTATAGAACTCCACCAGCAGCATCTGTGGGAGCAGGCAGAATACAGACCACCTCCCCACGTCCCCGTGTCCACCCTGTGCCAGACCAGTGAGTGGTGGAGACAGTAAACCGCATGATCTGGGTGCCGTGGAGATTAACAGGCGCGCAAGGCCCTGAAGTCTTCAGGCCTAGACAGGAGGGCTCCCTGGAGGGAGAGGTAGAGCTGGCTCCTTTGTCCACTGCCAGGACCAAGTGTCCACGGGCCTACCCTTGCTTCCTGTCTGAGCCTGAGCAATGCTGCAGTCCCCATGGAGCCCGCCCGGCCCAGTGAGCTCACCCCGCATAGGACAAGGATGCATGCGCACTGGGTCAGGGTCTGCACAGGATCTTCCTGGTTCCTTTGCCTCTATGAGCTCTGCTGAAACCTGTTTACCCTTCTAGCAATGTGTACGCTCAACAGCCCAGTGCCCCCAGGGACAGGTGAGGAGTGGCTGCATGGGGGTGCACCGTAGGAAGCAGGGGCTCCGGCCCCACATGGCGTCGGAGGGCACGGGGGTGGCCCACTCGCTGTCAGGCTGGAGCCGACTCAGCGACCTTGTGGCGGTGGAACATCGAGCAGGACGTTGGTCTATAACGTGTATGGCCACCACTTGTCTGTTGGGAATTCTGTTTTACTTGAATTCACAATTGACATCCATGGAAACAGCAGTCAAGAAACCACATGAGACATTCTGCAGATTTGCTGTCAAGGACCTCTGAAGTGCAAGAATGCCACTTTAAAGACCAAGGTGCACCTTATCCAAACCAGGACGTTTGCAGTTGTTTCACAGGCATGCGAAAGAAAGGAAGCGCAAAGAAAACAGATGCCTTTGAATCGGGCAGCTCCCATGGATTCCCAGAGGAAATGCTTTCATTCTGGAAAGCCAGAGCCAGGCTGCTTGGTGGCATGGACAGCAAGCCTTTGTGTCACAGGCTTAGGACAGGCTGTCACGAGGGAGGAGTCCCTAGAGAGGGACAGCATACCTGGTAAAACAGGCCAGCAAAAAAGATAACCGAGAAAGGGGGATTGGACACATAGCGCTGACCGGGAGGGCGGTGTGGGACACGCTGGTCCGCATACTGACCCTCGCTCGAAAGCACCAAACAACAGCTTTTCTGGGATCCAGTCACCGGGTCTATCGGCCGTCTTCCCATTACAGCCAAGCACTTAACCACTGTGCCACCAGGGCTCCATGAAATCACCTGTTCTGTTTTTAACCAGCATTCTGATGAATTCTACAAGTGCACACTGGGCACAAATGTTTGTCCTGACCCCACTGCGATCTTGGTGGGTTCTGCACGCGGGGCATCGGGGTAGCAGGGCCTAGCCAAGGTCACTGGGGCTGTCCTGAGCAAAGGCGGTGGGCCAGGGGCTAGGATTTTCTGACAGGAGGGGGGACCAGAACCCAGGGGGCTCTGGAGTGGTGCCCTCTGCTGCCCAGAGCGGGGAGGTGGGGCTCACCATCTCCTGCAGGATGTCATTGGTCAGGAAGCCGTCCTGCACGTAGGCCGTCTCCACGTCCATGGGGATTCCGTAGTCACCAGGCCGTTGCTGGTGGGGACACAGCCCTCTGAAGCCCTGTGACCCCAGCCCCTCTGAGAGCAGCAGGGACGGCAGGACAGGCCCTCAGCTGAGGGCCCAGAACCCCTCAGGAACAGGTTGGGGTGGTGGCACTGGGAAACTGCCTGGGTGCCCCATGGTTATTCTTTGTGCACACAGGGCTAATGTTGGCCCCATTCAATGAATGGAGAAACTGAGGCTGGAGCTGGTTCTGAGAGCTCTCCTTTCCCACGCCTGCCCTCTGCCCCGCCTGGCCGCCACCTCCTCCCCAGGCCACCTACCTCTGGGGGTGGCATCACCCAGAAGGGCAAGATCTTGGACTCAGGGCCCGGGTTGCCAGTGTAGTAGGGTGCTAGAGAGGGAGAGGGGTGGCTGGGCCTCAGGGCTCCGCTGCCCCCACCCCTCCTTGCTGCCCCCACCCCGGGACGCACAGCAGAGCAGCGCCAGGCAGGGCTGGAAGCCGTTACTGGAGCCCTGGAGGCGCAGCTGGTAGTCCATCTGTGTGTCGATGTCCTGCAGCGAGGGCAGCGCCGGGCTATGCGGGTGGCTGTGGTACCAGCCCACCAGGGACAGGCCCCGCAGGAACAGGCTCTGGTAGACCTGAGGACACAGCAGTGACCAAGAGAGCCTGGCCTCACCTCACAGTGTCCAGGAGCAGAGGGGAGCAGTGAAGCACCCCACCTGACGGGTGGTGAGGTGGGCAGGGAGCTGGGCTAGGGCTTAACTAACCATCTACACAAAAGTGTGACAGACCGAGCCGTTACCAGGGGCCAGGCTGGGCTCAATTCCAGCCTTGCAGCTTACAGGTGGAAAAGGAGTCCAGTGGCACAGTGGTTAAGCACTTGCCTGTGAACCACAAGGTCAGTGGTTTGAACCTGCCCAGTCTCTGTTCTGTGGGAGAAAGACCTGGCAATCTGTTAATCATAAATAACAACTGAAACCCTCCACTGACTCAATCCCAACTCGGTGACCCTAGAGGGTAGAGGATTCTTCCCCTCCACAGGGCTGAGGCCTATGTGTTCACAGAAGCAGCCTCCTCCCTTCCCTCGAAACGGCTGCTGCATTCAGATCGTCAACCTGAGTCACTGCAGCACCAGGCTAGTATTCCCGTGCTTAACCTGCGGTGCCACCAAGACCTGGGAAACCTTGTGAGGCAGCTGTCCTGTCACAAGGGGTCAGGAGGCACCTACGGACATCTGTATTCACAAGGAGATGGGACACTGGGAGGGTGGCTTAGTCACCGAGAGCAGCGATAGCAGAACTCTCGCAAGTGGATAGCTTCAACTAACAACTTTATTTTCTTACAATTTAAGCTAGAATTTAGAGTGTAGGCTCTTGGGAGAAGGCCATCTGGTTCCCTGGAGACCCCATGTTGGCATCTACCCCCCCACCCCCATCTCTCAGCTCATTTGTTCTATCACTTTCATCTCTTAAGAGACTGTCTCAGAAGCCACCCCAAACCAGCCCTGTCTTGCGAGCATCCCAGACACCCCATGTCAGACAGGATGGTAACAGGCAGAGGTCAGGGGTTACAACTCATGGGGGCAGGGGTCATTCACACGGTAATGGAGGGAAAGCAACTGGCCAGGGCATCTGGCACACATCTAAGACTGGGGGCTATGGCCCACGTCAGGTGACCCCATAAAGTGCTTGACCTGCACTGCCCTTGGCGCGCAGTGGGACTTACCCACCCACAGTCCTGGCTCTCACTGCACTCATGGGGCAGCTTAGACCTCTCCCCAGAACACCACTCCCTGCGACCCCTGTACCTGTCACCTGTGCTCACCTCCTCCTCAACTGTGGCTGCGGTGTCCACGTCACCTAGGCGGCTCCGGCAGGGGAAGGCTCGGAGCACGGTGAGCACTGTGGATGGGTAAGCCATGGACGTCAGCCAGACCCTAACACCGCCTGCCCCCCAGCCCCAAATACCCACTCTGGCTGTTGATGTCCCAGCGGCCTCCCAGGTATCCCACAACCTCGCTCCGAGTCAGGTGGCTATGGAAATCCTGCAGAAGGGAAAGGACACTGGGGACATGGCTCGGTCGGTCGCCCCTCCTGCATGCAAGCCTGCATCGAGGCCCGTGGGCAGCCACTCTGCAGGCTCCCTCCGTCATGGGTCCCCTCCTCCGTCCCCCAGGCCTTAGCCTGCATCAAGGCCTGTGGACAGCCACTCTGCAGGCTCCCTCCGTCATGGGCCCCCTCCTCCGTCCCCCAGGCCTGAGCACACACCAGCAGGAACAGCACGTTGCTGGAGATGGCCACGTTGAACGGCTGGAACTTATTAATGGCTGCAAATGACGTGACTTCCACCAGGGTGTGGGGGCTCCTGTGGGGGTTGGCGGGTGTCCCACAGCCTCAGAGACCCTCCAAGGCTCTCCCTCCACCCCAGGGTGACCCCTAACACACAGCCAGCTCTAGATCTGAAGCCCTACTCCACCTCTGTCCCTGCTCCTCCCACCCTACCCCACCCACTAGAGTTCCCAGTGAGCTGGGGGGTGGGGGTGGCATTTCCACCACGGGGTGAATCAGACCTTGCTGAGTCCCGACTGCCCAGCATGCAATAGCGAACTGGCACTCGGATCTTGTTCTCCACACACTTCCCGGGGGGCGTAGCATCTGATGGGGGCAGGAGGGGAAAGAGAAAAAGAAGGGACTTAAAAATCAGAGGACTTGAATAAACAGGGCAAAGACACCTGTAGGGGAGTAAGAAATAAAGCAGCAGGCCCTGGAAATAGTCCCTGGGAGTTTAGCTCAGTGACAGGGCAATGAGGCCCTCAGGTCTCCCTCACCCCCCTCCTATGCCCCCTCACCGCTCACCTTGGTGGGCAGCCTCCGAGGGGCCTTTTCCTGAGGCTCTGCGGGTCTTTTCCTCCGCCGAGACCCCCGCCGGAACCTCCTCCTCTTCCTCCTCCATCAGCAGCTCCTCCTCCTCCCCTTCACTGGCTGGACTCTGCCAACGGTGGAATGGGGGCGACAGGGACCCTCAGCTCGGTGCCCCTTGCTTTCCCAGAGCAGCTGTGAGCCGGCAGTTCCCCAGATGCCCACTAGAGGGAGGGAGCGAGCTGAGGCGCAACTGACTCCCGGTTACGTTCTCGTGGCCTTTGACACACATTCAAGCCATGCTGGATTCTCAGAAGCAGTGGGGCCCAAAACAAGCCTCTTAACCCCCTTAGACTCTGAAAGGCACAGGAGCCTCCGGTCTCCTAAGAATGGCGTCGGGGTGGCATGAGATCATGCACATAAAGCTTTTATTTAGCAGATACTTGGGGTAAGCAAGGGCTTCATGTGGACCTATATTGATAACCTGTATGTAACCAGAACCTGTCTGCTCCGACACCTTGAAAAGTCTCCTCCCTCCCTGATCCTGCCCGACCAGCGCCCACCTGGATCAGGGCTGGGGTCCACCAGCTCCCGCCCTGCCCCGTCTGTTCTCCTAGCAGCCACTAGAGAGCGCCTATGAGCACACTCGTCAGGTCCATCCAGACCGGCAGGGCTCCCAGCTTCCCCAGCAAACCTGGTTACCCCCCAGTGCACAGTCCTGATGCTCTGCCCTATCCGCTCCTGCCTCTGCCCTCCTCTTCCCCTCCCTCACTCCATTCCAGCCACACGGGCCACTTGTCAAACTATCCAGGTCTGGTCTTGCCCCAGGGCCTTTGCACTCCCAGGCTTCTTCCCTTCGGTTTTCTGCTCTCATATCTTTCTGTCTGAATGGCTTCCCTGCCCACCTGCTTAGCCCCAACTTCCGTCCACATTCTTGATTATTTATCATCTTGTAACATACTCGATGGTTCATTGACCATGTTTCTCTCACATTCTCTGAACACAGGAATTTTTCTTTTTAGCTCATGCAGAAGAAAGGCGTGGCTATCTTAGGTCATAACCAAGAAAATTTTGTGGGCTGTTCTCATCTGTTCCAAGGGGTCATTATGATTCCAAATAGACTCAGTGGTGATGGTCAGACAGGCTGTAGCTTCAGCACCTGGACCGGTCGGTGTCTGGTACACAGCCAGCACTTAAACACATACTCACTCAATGACATGGACACTTACCATGAATCACGCCCATTTCTCATATGAAAAAAAGCGATGCACACGAGGTCTTTAGCCAAGCTCACCCAGCTGGTGAGCACTCAAAGAATCCAAGCTACCTTGGCAATTACAGCCTTCCAGGATCTGGTCCCTGTCAGTATTTCTAGCCCCATCAGCTTCCCAGAACACACATACATCCAATGTCATCAGCTAATCCTGACTCCCTAAGCAGCACAAGTTGTTTTGCTACATCTTGCTCTGAAAAAACTCCTACTCATCCATCAAAGCCCCAGTTCCAACACCCATTCTCTCTAGTCCACCCCTAGGCACGGTCAGGAGGGGGTGGCTGTGTCAGGAGGCTGTAAAACACACCTCTTCAGCTGTCACTGCAGGCACATGGAGCTGGTGCCGCCGGAGCCAGGCAGCCTTGTACTTGTCCAGTTTCTGGCCCTTGTACTTGACGGAGGCCCAGCCACAGCCTGACTTCTTGGCTGGGTTCACGAGCTTCTTGCAGTGGGTGGCCCAGGCACTGGGCGAGTTGAATACCTGCCCCGTCTCTTGCCAGACGATCCTCCCATCTGGTTGCAGGTCTCCTATGAACTTCTTCCCCTGTGGTGACAGCACACTAGCAAGGTCCTTCCTCCAGGAAGCCCTCCCTGATGCCAGGCTGCTCTGTGGGCTTGGCACACACTCCCTCCTCCAGCTTAAATTCCATGTTGGTGCCTCTATGTCAGCTCTGGCCATCTCGTGTTAAAACTGCCCAGGTATGTGCATCTCCTCTACCTAGCGTCCCCTAAGGATAGGAGCTGGGTCTTGACCATTGCTGTGTTCTCAGCAGTCAATGCAGCCTTGCACAAATACCAACCTCAAATCACACACTGTTCCCATTCACAGACCTAAGTATACAACTACCTAAAAATAAGTAGCAGCAGTTGCCACTAACCATGATGTCCCCGTGGGTGTGAGAGTAGAACTGTACCCCACAAGGTTACCAGAGGCAGCTTTCTCAGAAGTAGATTGCCAAGCCTTTCTTCCACTGCACCAATGGTGGACTTGAACCTCCACTCTCAATTAGGAGCTTAATGTGTTAATAATAATAGTGCATTAGGTTTAAGGATAACAAATATTTATTAAGCATTTACTGTGTAACTAAGAAGCCTTGGTGTGCTGAGCTGTTAACCAAAATGGTCACTAGTTCAAATCCACTAGCTGTCCCAAGAAAAATGAGAGACTGCTCCCATTAAGATTTACTGACTCAAAAGCTCCCACGGAGGGTCCTTATGGGTTGGAATTGACTAGACAGCAGTGGGTTCATTGCTCTGTGTAGTTAATGTGTTTAAGAGCAAGATTGTCACTTTGGGGACTAAGGTGTGCCTAATCTAAGCAATGTTTTTTCAGTCACCTCATATGCATGTGACAGATGGACAAGCAATAAAGACGACAGAAGAACTGATGCCTGTGAATTGTGATGTTGGCAAAGATTCTGAACTGCAACGAACAGAACCTGTCTTCGGTGTACTGCCAGAATGCTCTTTTGAAGTGACCTGGGGCATTTTATCAGGAGGGGCCAGTCCCTGTAGGGCATTATGATTGTTCAAGTGCAGGTTCGGCCAAAAAGGGAAATCCTTAACATAGTGGCTATGGATAATGGACTTAAGAACAGGAGGGGTTTTGAGGATGGCGCAGGCCCGGGGTCGGATGGATTTCCTTGTGTTGGCTCGGGGTCGCGAGGCGTAGGACCACACTGAACGTCAGCTAACGATACTGTACCATAGCCAGCCCTAAGCCAAGCGCTTTATTCTTTTAATCTTGATACAACCCCAGGGGCGGGGAGGAATGCCCATTTTTCAAGTGAGGGGACTGAAGGACAGCACACTCAGGAAAACCCCGGGGCCAGTGATCGCGCCTCTGTGTGCCTCAGTTTCTCTTTATGAAGCAAGCGTGTTTGGGGGTCGCCCAGGACCCGGCTGGGCTGGAGCCTGGGTCTCGGCTCCTGCGCCAACCAGGATGGGTCGGTGGGGGGTGCTCACCAGGTAGTAGATGGAGAGCACGCCGGCGCCGGGCTCCAGCAGCGCGTCTTTGAGCAGCACCCGCAGCGTGACCGC